CCAGGATCACACAGCAAGTGTCAAGTGTTTGGTCTGACATGGCTGTTTTTAATAGAAGCATTTGAAATTGTCTCAAAAAATTTAAATTCTGTACCATACCAAACTTGTTTTGATTCAATACTGCAAAATAAGTTGAAAATTACAAGTTGAAAACGCACAACCAAAAGGTATGATAATAACAGTGACTCAAGTTCAGGTCATCGTAGAGGGACAAGTAGAGACTACTTGTATCTGCATCGATGGCCTAAGAGAAAAAAATATGAGCCATGAAATCTACAGATGACAACAAACACAGAGCATTACTAATCCTGAAAGAACACTAAGATTACTACGGAGATGTGAAAGAACATCCAAAATAAGTTTCAACCCACAAAAAGAACACGACCTGGGAGACAGTTTTAAATAGACAGCTAAGAAAAGTGAGAAACTGAGAAAGAAGAAATGGTTTCAAAATGAATAAGGGGATGAAAGGCTTAGCAATGCTGACCCACACAATAATCCACCACAGCTTCAAAGGACTCATGATATAAAATGTTAGAAAACTGATGAATTCAGAGTGCAGAGGGAAGCATTTTTTTTTCCTTTTTCAATTTTTATTTCTTTTTTTTCCTGAGCATGGCTAATGTGGAAATGTTTTGCATGACTATATACATACAATGGGTATCCTATTTCTTGCTTGTTCAATGGGTGGGGGAGGGAAAGAATGTGGAACTGAAAATTAAAATTGAAAAAAAAACTTAAATGAATAGGTAAGAAAACAGACTACAAAACTGAGTAACTACAAAAACTGAACAACTGAAAAGAATAACATGATTTAGGGCCTACAGAAAAAGAAGCACTTTGCAGAAGCAAGAAGGCAAGTTCTCTCTTATATGTGAGTTTAGGGCACTTAATTATCAGCAAGACATTCCAAAAATAAATAGCTCCATTTGCATAAAGTTGGCTGAACAATAATGGTCAGGCAATGGTATTATAAAAACTGTTTTCAAATGCTACTATAGGATTTGATCACTAATTAAGACAAGATACATAATTCAGTGATAGAAGAGATATAATTAGGAGTAATAAAATCAAAATGAACAAAGGGAAAAATGAGGCAATGATTAAATATAAGGGTAATGTCTTGGGAGTAACACTCAGAAAGCTATGCATCCCTAGGAAGATTCATTCCATGAGAGATTTAAGATACATGTTCTCTGAGGACAAAAATAATCTTCTATAGCATGGTTACTTAATATTGCAAAATACTACATACAGCAAGTTAAAATATTGAACTTAGGGTGGAGCCAAGATGACCAAGTAAAGGCAGTAACTCACCTGAGCTCTCTTCCAACCCCTCCAAATACCTTTTAAAAAATGACTCTAAACAAGTTCTGGAGCAGCAGAACCCACAAAAAGACAGAGTGAAACCAATTTCCAGCCCAAGATAACTTCGAAGGTCGACAGGAAAGGTCTTTTGCACCAGGCTGAGAGAGGAGCACAGTCCAGCACAAGCCACGCCAGCACAGACCCCAGCAAACCCAAAGCAGGCCTCAGGGGACTGAATCACTAACAGCAGTAGCAGTTTCCAGACTGCTCAGCCACAACAAACACAACTTAGAAGGTCAGTGAGAAAGATCTGTCAGATATGGGTGAGAGAGGAGCACAGTCCTGGGCCGGCAGTAGCAGCAGCAGCAGTGGCTGCTTTTAGAGCTCTTAGCCTACAGATGGTGGGTGGATGAAACAACTGGTCAGGAGACAACAGGAGTCTCTTTGTCAGCAATGAGGCAGGATTCTGTTGCTTTGCCCATACTTAGTCCTGGGGCAGCAGTCCTGGGGTGAGAAGGAGCACTAGCATAGCAAAGCTCATGGCAGCAGTGGAGAAAGGACCCTCCTCACAGTGCCAGGGCATAAAAGAGTGCCTGTGGTCACTCACAAGCGAGGGCACAGGCAAGGAGAGGAGTAAACAACTCTCTTCAGATCATACCACCTTGAAAGACCTGAAAACTTACAGGTCCCTAGAAGTATCTCTGAAAACAGCTGAACAAAAATCCCTGAAGCTTGGGACAGTTCACCCTCCACACTGGAAGCAGAGCCCTACCTTAACAAAGAGTTAAAAAGTCAAGTAATAGGCTGGGAAAATGAGCAAAAGACGAGAAAAAAAATCTGACTACAAACTTACTTGGGTGACAAGGAAGATCAAAACACACACTCAAAAGAAGACAACAAAGTCAAAGCTCTTATGTCCAAAGCCTCCAAGAAAAATATGAATGGTCTCAGGCCATGGAAGAGCTCAAAAAGGATTTTGAAAATCAAGTAAGAGAGGTAGAGGAAAAATTGGGAGGAGAAATGAGAGTGATGCAATGAAATCATGAAAAATGAGTCAACAGCTTGGTAAAGGAGACTCAAAAAAATACTGAAGAAAATAACACCTTAAAAAATAGACGAGACCAAATGGCAAAAGAGGTCCAAAAAGCCAATGAGGAGAAGAATGCTTTAAAAAGCAAAATTGGCCAAATGGAAAAGGAGGTCCAAAAGCTCACTGAAGAAAATGATTCCTTAAAAATTAGAATGGAGGAAATGGAAGCTAATGATTCTATGAGAAATCAAGAAATTATAAAACAAAACCAAAAGAATGAAAACATAGAAGACAATGTGAAATATCTCACTGGAAAAACAACTGACCTGGAAAATAGATCCAGGAGAAATAACTTAAAAACTATTGGACTACCTGAAAGCCATGATCAAAAAAAGAGCTTAGACATCACCTTTCAAGAAATTATCAAGTAAAACTGCCCCAGTATCCTAGGACCAGTGGGTAAAATAGAAATCGAAAGAATCTACTGATCACCTCCAGAAAGAGATCCCAAAATAAAAATTCCCAGGAATATTATATTATAGCCAAATTTCAGAGTTCTCTGGTCATGGAGAAAATATTGCAAGCAGCCAGAAAGAAACAATTCAAGTATTGTGGACTCACAATCAGGACGGCACAAGACTTAGCAGCTTCTACATTACAGGACTGGAGGACTTGGAATATGATATTCCAGAGGTCAAAGGAGCTAGGATTAAAACCAAGAATCAACTAACTACCCAGCAAAACTGAGTTTAATCTATGAGGGGGACAAATTGACATTCAATGAGATAGAGGAATTTAATGCACTCTTGAGAAAAGACCAGAGCTAAATAGAAAATTTGACTTTCATATACAAGACTCAAGAGAAGCATGAAAAGGTAAACAGGAAAGAGAAATCATAAGGGACTTATTAAAGTTAAACTGTTTACATTGCTACACGGAAAGATGGCATTTGTAATTCATAAGACCTTTCTCATTATTAGGGTAGCCAGAAGGAGTATACATAGATAGAGGGTACAAGTATGAGTTGAATATGAAGGGATGATATATAAAAAATAAAATTGTGGGGTAAGAGAGAGGAATGTACTGGGAGAGGTAGAATGGGGTAAATTATATCACATAAAAGAGACAAGAAAAAACTTTTACATTTGGGGGGAAGAAGGGGAAGGTGAGAGGGAATGAGTGGACTCTATTTTCATCAGAATTGGCTTAAAGAGGGAATAACATACATACTCAGTTGGGTATAGAAATCTATCTTACCCTACAGAAAAATGGGGGGGGGGAGGACATACGAGAAGGAGGGGTGGGTGATAGAAGAGAGGGCAGAGTGGGGGAAGGGATAACCAGAAGCAAACACATTTGAGGAGGGACAAGGTGAAAGGAGAGAATAGAATAAATGGGGGATGGGATAGGATGGAGGGAAATACAATTAGTCTTTCAAAACATGACTATTATGGAAGTGTTTTAGATGACTACACATGTATAACCTATATTGAATTGCTTGCCTTCTCAGTGGGGGGGTTGGGAGTGGGGAAGAAGGAAGGGAGAGAATTTTGAACTCAAAGTTTTAAAAATGAATGTTAAAAATCATTTTTTACATGTAACTGGGGAAAATAATAAAATACTAAATTTTAAAAAATTAAAAGAGAAAAAATAAAATACTAAGCTTAAATATTAAAATCATGTTTAGGAAGCTATCTTGGTTGGTTAACAGGTTCAATGAGAAATGCTTTTTTTTTTGTTTACTTGTTTTTATTTCAAAGGCCCTTATGCCAGGATTAGTTCCTCTACTGACTATAGCTGAAGATTCCAAGCTCAGGGATTATATCAAAGGAACAAAAGCCAACATTAACACTGATGGCTTCACTAGAGAAGTAGTAGTGATATGAACCACACTCAACATAATTCGATGCATCTAAAGTCTACACACTACTAAAGAATACCAGGATCAAATTTATTACCATTTCCTCAAAGAAGATCAAGGGGAGAACGAGAAATAACAGGAGAGAGATCAATACTTGGAGAACTCAAATGCTAATGCGGTATTTGAAAGCAGCTAATGTGAGAGCAACTACAGAATGATCCTAAGAGGGATAAAACAGGTACACTGTTTTATAGTTAGTGTTTACGAGTTACTATGAAACGTACAGACACATGGAACGAACCTTGGTTAGATTACATAACATAAAACTACTTAGGCTAAACTTCATCTCCTGTGGCAGGTATTAGTTAGTTAACACATACAGTACAAAACCATCATGAGAATTATTTCTAAGTTGAACTACTAGTAACCCCATGATCAAAAACAGTATAAGCAAAAATGAAATCATTAGATCTACATTATTTTTTCTGAAATATTCTATCAAAATAGACCTAGTACTTTCTAAGCTCCATTCCATTTATCTAAGCATCAGTTGCCTCCATTCTCTCCTTCAAACTATATTATATGAGATGAAGAGACTTCTAAGAAGTTCCTGTATCCTATGGCTTTTCCTTTCTTTTGCTCCTCCAGACTATTTATCCCCATTTTCACTTTCACTTTGTGCTATTAAATTCTTCAAATACTTGAGGAATTCTCTACTTATACAACTCAAGGACTAGAAACTAAAGCTAAATACTTTCTATTTTTGGAATGGAAATAGTTTCCAAATGACCCAAAACTTACCTGCTTGAAGTTGGATGATTGAGCTGGAGCAGATGCTGGACGCTAAAAAAAGACAGAAAAATGGAATAAAGCCATCTATTCTCCTAAAACTCCTATGTCCCCATCCACCAAGACTAAGATGTGAAGACGGTAGAAAGCAATCACCAGGAAGAAATCTAGAATGAGACTTCTGTGAGATGGAAGTGGTGGATCAAAAGCATTCAGTTCCCCACGTGCTGTCTTCCTGTCTAGCACATCTATTTCCAGCTTCATTTTCATAGTTTTGCAAGCATGAACATTCTAAAAACTGATAAAACAGAAATTTCTCCAATACTTCAATGGAATTTCCTCTTCTACCCATAAAGACCACAACCCTTACATGCCTCGTCATTTGGTATAATTCTTTTCCTTACTCTGACAAATTCATGTCACATGTTACATGTGACACAGCGCACTTTCTTCAGTCACAAAAATACCCTGTAGGCTCAAGGAGAATGATATAACACCACTGCCTAATCACTAGCAAAATAAGGAGAGAACAGATATTCCAGGATTTTCATAATTTTGACAACAGAAAACAATAATTCATCCATGACAGGCATGTAGCCATTCCAGAGAAAAACTTGGCAAAAAAAAAAGTATATTAAAATTGCATGGCAGCATTGAAAATACAGTTTTTTAGCAAAAAAAAAATTCTATGAGATCAAATCTATAAATGTTAGCTATTATTATTATTATTATTATTATTATCTAGATGACTGTTATTTATATGAACACTACAGGAACAACATGAAGAAGAAGCACGTAACCAATTGTGATAAATTGTCTCAGTCCAATAAGGTTAAAACTTCAGTTCTCCCTATTAAAAATAAGAACAAAATCCCTGATCTATTGATCGACTAAAAATCAGGCTCCTAATTTAAATTTTCTTCCAAAAAGACATCTCTCAAAGAAGAGCACTCCTTTTTAGCACATTAAAAAGTTCAGATGTTCTCTACCAGAAAAAGCATCACATACTTGAATAAGTAACATTCTGTCTGACTGTCAGTCCAGACATATTTTATCAGTGCAGATCATTATTCTGTGCGGCACGGGCAAATATAAAAGAAAGACACAAGACACAGTCCCTGCCTGCTGCACACTTCCAATCTAATAAACCAGATACAAAGAACAACAAAGCAACAAACCAGGCGTACAAAATAAGAAAGTACAGAGAAAAGAGATCTGATTAGAAACAAAGCAAAGGAGTCATCAGAATCAGGTAGTTTAATTAAGGAATGCTTCTCAAAGGAAGGCGAGTTTTGAGGCAATTATGTAATCAATCCAGACGGGGAGAGAGAAGAGGACAAGACTCCTAGATAGGAGCATGTGACACAAATGAAAGCATGTTAAGTGAGAACCAGCAAGTGGTATGAGAAGAATGACAAGCTGATTGACATGGCAGGAAGAGAAAGGCTATTTTGGAGAGAGGGTAATCAGACAATGCCAGAGAAATATCCAAGAGGATTTAGCCCTATACCACTTCACTTCAGGTAATGTTTCATGGATACTGTTGAGGAGACCAACTTGTTGGGAAGATTTTCAGCTGTACATCTTTTGTCTAGATCATGAAGCTAAAATGAAGATCATAAAATACTTAACAAAGCACCAACTGGGAATTAGTATATAATCTTCCCTGTTGTGCCCAGATTATATGGATATCAATCTGAGAAAGAAGAAAAACAAACAAAAGGGGAAGTAAAGCAAAAAGATGGAGAGGCAAAGCAAGTAAGAAAAAAAGAAAAGGAAAAAAGTTTGATTGACAGCATGAGCTACTGATCTACCAAGGCTGAATGTAACTAACTGGCTGTTAGCTGCCTATTTATGTTCGTACTAAGAACCCTGTGGTGCAGTGTTCTTCAGCAGGTGCCCTGACAGTTCATGTAGCCTAAGCTCACTTATTTGGCTCTTATGACAGTTTAGATCAGCCACTCCCCTGCGATCCTCTTAGAAGCTCTGAGCTGCTGAATTTCCTTACCTGATTTTTCTGGAAGGGATTTCTTCTAGAAGGCTCAAATGTAGGATACATCGGCCTGGTTGATGACCGTTGAGAAGAGTCTTGGCACACAAATCCTGAATAAGGAAAGTGCAACGTCAGAACCCGCCATTTTCTAGGAAATCTGCAGGTCTACTTTTACCTTTTCTTTTGCAGTACAAACCAAGTTTCATTGCCAATATCCTACCCAGGCAAAAGTATCCCAAAGGTCTCTAACTTCAGTTATGCCTAAACTTGAAACCACCATAACTAAAAGGGACCAGATACAACTCTTGGCTACACAGCCTTTTTCTTATTAAGAAAAAGATGTTTAAGCTAATGAACTTGAAAGTAACAACGCAAACAATTAAACCCACTGCTGCATTCACATTAGTAAAACAGGACCTGTTTTAAGAACTCTGCTGAATATTGACTGGAAAAGAATTCTTTAATTGGGAGAGTCTGAAAAAAATCTGTAAGGCAGGTAAGACACCTGCCTCTTTCACAGTGGTCGCTACATCTTATTCACGGCTTGAGAAATCAAGCACCAGCTAACGTACGCTTACCCCCTGAATAGAAGCAGATTTTCTTCCAAGGAGAAGAGAATAACAGAGTCCCTTAATTCAATAGTATACTAAGTATGGATCTACCTGAAATGTTCTGTGTAATGGTCTGTTGACTAATATACCACAGTCTACCAACCTGACACTATTCCTTCTGAATTTTCTTGGCTTCTCTTTTTAAAAAAGGTTTTGTTGTTGTGTGTTTATTTTTACAGCAATAGTTAAGGCACCTTCAGTTTTAGCTACTGGAGAAAAAATCATGTTAAAACCAACAGGGATTGTTTCAATGAAAATGTATCCAGTTTTCTTTATATCAAGAAGGCTTTGACTTATATGAACTGATACAGAGCAAAGTAAGCAGAATGAGAAGAACAATGTAAACCATGGTCACAATAAGACAAAGCAAAACAGCACTGAAAGACATTTGAATTCTGATCAATCCAATGACCAATAGTGACATCACAGTATTATAAATCTATAGCTAGAAGGGACCACAGAGGCCGTCAGGAGTTGCACTCTTCTTTTACCAGTGAGCAAACTGTGGCCAATGGAGGTGAATTGAACTATTCGAGGTCACCCAGACATTAAGGGTCAGAGGTGGAATCTGAACCTAATGCCTCTAACTTTAGCACTGTACTGAAGGACTGAAAGAGGAACATGCCTTTCACAGGGTAGATGAGGCATATGTTGTCAGCTACTGTCAATATGTTTATTAGTTTGACCTAATTGTATTTCTTTATTACAAAGGAGGATCCAAATAGGGTAGAGGATGAGAAGGGGAGTCACTGGAGAAATGATAGTGATGTTTAAAAAAAAAAAGACTTTTCAAAAAAACATTTCTTTTAATGAATCTGTATTTTATCTAGGACAGGAGGAAGCTAGGGAAGTTGGGAGACACAACAGGTAAGAACACTTTCTCTCACTTCCCTGAAAAAATTATCTCTTACTACTTCTTCCAAAAAAGTTGGCAAACCTGACACTTCACCAATACTGAACAAAATGCAGACTCCAGCTAACTTTAATTATGTGTTAAATTCAGAGAAAACTACTTACCTACAACAGTGAACATATCTGAAATCATACTGGCTTTAATCTTTAGGTCCAGAGGTGCATCACTGGAAGCAAAGAAAGAAAAGAAAGAAAGAAAAATGAGAGAGATGATGAATTTAACAATTTAATAGATCAGATGCTTCCTTGAGAACATGTCTTCAATAAGCTCTAACAGATCTCAGAAAATAAAGGCTAACAAGGAACAAAATGCATTAGAGTCCCTGAAAAGAAAATATCATTATGAAAAGAGGAAAAGAGGAATTCAGATAAAGGTACTGGAGTTTAGTGTTACAGACCTTCTCTAATGGGCAGGCTCAGTACAAAGTTTTCTTTAAATACTTCACCTTTATCTTACCAATGACACAGAGAAAAGCCTTTACTGTACAACATTCATCTGACTCAATTTCATTAAATGGCATATTGCCAACATTCACCTTCACTGAACACTGCCATCTGGTTGATTTTTCATATAACCATTAGGATTTCCCAATTATTCAGTGAAACTCGCAATTAATTAAGAGTCCTGGCTGCAGACGTTGTGGATAGAATTTTATCTGGTATTCCAAATGATATTCTACCCTTTCTTCAAAACAAGGGGTCATCCAGAAAACAATAAAGAAGTCTCCCATGGGAGAACACCTAAAATCTTTAGAACTGGATAGGCACAGGATATAGAATAGGGCAAGGGGGCCTTTTATCACCAGTGCTAGCTCAGACCCATCATTCTATATACCCAACATATTTTTAATTGACTTACTTAATAATCAGGACAGTGGCTTCAAGAAAAGAACAAAGTCTCTACTATACCCTGGGGTGAAACAGAATATAAACTAGCTTCTATAAAAAGTTTACTCAATAAGTTTTGATGCCAAAGAGGATAGAACACTATAATTTCCAGAGCTGCACAAGAAATATACTCCACATCTAAAACTTCCACTAATCTATTTCTACAACACTTAGAAAAGAACACAAGGATGCTCACTTTGGCAGCACATATACTAAACATGGAATGATACAGAGAAGATTAGCATAGCTCCTGTGCAAGGATGACACACAAATTCATGAAGCACTCCATATTTTTAAGCTGAGCCATGAATGGTCATTGGGAAATGCTTGCATTGCTCTGCAAGAAACCCTGGACTTGGACTTTTGTTAACATCTTGTAAATCAAAAATGTGCTCCTCTGTACGCTAAAGTACACTACTATTTAACAACACAACACTGTGTAACAATAAATAATTTTGTTCTTTTGATGAAAGAAAAAAAGAAAAGAATACAAGGAAAAATGTTGGGGTGGAGGTGGTTCTTATTTCTCTAGTAATAAAAAATTTGACAAAAACCATTTTGGTGTTACTAGATGAAAGTATGGCCCTCACTTGGTGATAGTATTCACTTACCAGGCCAAAGAAGGAGAAAGATTCACTTCCAGCAACCATGGTTTCAGAGTTGAATCAATGAGAACATCAAAACCATAAAGCTCTAGAAATAAAGCAACAATCAAAAATGGAACACTCAAAAAATAAGAAGATAGCAAAAGTTAAGAAGAGGACACAGATAAGCAGAGTTCTGTAGTATCACCATATTAAATTTAAAGCATACTTTAAGAAAACAAGTTGTATATAACAAAAATTCACAGGTTCATATACAAACTGATTTTCTGTTCTTCATATATAGAAATGTTCATTTGTTGATGTTTGTGAAGTTCAAATAAAAAAAATTTAAAAAACAAAACAAAAATATTTTTTGAAGAACTTTAATAATATACAACATCACTTTCTTTTCACAAACTAATAGTCCTTTCCAGTGTGGAACAACATGAATCCAAATGTTGTGGGTTATTTCAATAAATCCCTATAAGAAGCCCAAAGACTTAATAAGCAATATCATATGAGTTCCATAACCAACAAATGTAAATTAAAAACTCTTTAGAGCTCAAAAGAATTAATATATATTATAGTCGTTATTGTTTAGTTGTTTCAGTTGTGTCTGACTCTTCATGACCCCATTTGAAGTTTTCTTGACAAAGATAATGGAGTGGCTAGTCATTTCCTTCTCCAACTCATTTTACAGATGAAGAAACTGAGGCAAAGAGGGTTAAGTGACTTGCCTAGGGTCACACAGTTGTCTGAGGCTGGCTTTGAACTCAGGAAGATGACTCCAGGCCTGACACTATCCACTGCACCACCTAGCTGCTCCCAAAGCATATTATATAGCATTTAAGATGCCTTTGTAAGAGACTATATGCCCCCAAAGTTCTCACCTGACAAAATCAAAGAATTAAGCCATCAACAAATTTATTCAGCATTTACCATGTATTAGACAGAACAGTGGCCTCATGAAATGAACAAAGTCCACCTGAGGGCAGGGTATATAAAAATTAAAATATTCCCTGCCTTCAAGGAGCTTATATTCCAATGCGGGAGACAGCAGATACATAAGTACATACAAAGTAAACACAATATAACATGGGAGGGACAGAACTAGAAAAGGGGGGTTCAAAAAAGACTCGATATAAGTTCGGATCAACTTGAAAAATGGCATAGATAGAGGAAAGCAAATGTTATGTGGGAGAAATGAAGGCCAGTTTGATTGGATCTTAAAGCAGGCAAAGGCGAATTTATGAGTCCTAGAAAGGTAGGTTGGAGCCAGATGGTGAAAAGATTTAAGATCAGAGATGGAAGCCTGTTTGATTGTGAAGGTAACAGGGAACCCCTGAACTTTACTTACTAGAGGAGTAGTACGGTCAAATCTATGGTTTATGAATATTACATTTGACATCTGTGTGGAAGGTGGGAGAGACTGGAAGCGAGAAGACCAATTAGAGGGACTGTTTTGCGGCCAACACGAGTATAAGTTGAAGTGTGTGTGTGGGTGTGGGTGTAAGTTGAAGTGGGTGTGGGTGTGTACATGTGTGTGTTTGTATGTGTGGGGGGTATAAGTTGAAGTGGGTGTGTGTGGGGGGGTGTAAGTTGAAGTGGGTGTGGGTGTGCACGTGTGTGTTTGTATGTGTGTGGGGTGTAAGTTGAAGTGGGTGTGGGTATACACGTGTGTGTGTGTGTGTGTTTGTGTGTGTGGGAAGTATAAGTTGAGGTGGGTGTGGGTGTGCACCTGTGTGTGTGTGTTTGTGTGTGTGTGTGTGTGGTGTAAGCTGAAGTGGGTGTGTGGGGGGGTGTAAGTTGAAGTGGGTGTGGGTGTGCACATGTGTGTGCATGCAAGAAGCAAGAGCACTTAAGTTCTTTCAGTCTACATAGAACTATTAATAAAAGTCAAAGATGAAGAGTGTGAGTCTAGGGCCTCATTGGCTAAACTCACTCTGAAGAACCCAGCTCCATTCCACAAATAAACCATTTGGAGGCTTAGTTAGCTGAGGAACAGAAATATCAATCTCTCTTCACATTCTGTTCTCAGTCTTTACCCTTCTTAGCCATTATTTGTTGCATGTAACAGTGCTAAACATCCTATCCCCTCTTCCTGGATACTCTTTCCTCTCTGGTCACTTGTCTGACCCCTCTTTTTACCATTTCCTTTGCTGGCTCATTTTGCATGCTGCCTGCCCATCACACCCAAACTGCGGATGATCTTAAAGGTTCTGTCTTAGTACATTTTCTCTTTGCTTTCTGTACTCTCCTACCCTGTAACCTCATCAGCCTCCATGGGTTGAACGGCCATCACTACAAAGATGACTCACAGATCTATACATTCACTCAATATACACTTATTAAGTGCCTGCTAAGTACCAGGCACTGTGCTAAGCGCTGGCCAAACAAAAAGAGGCAAAAGACAGTCCCTGCCCCTCAAGGACCTTGCAATACAATGGGGGAGATAACACGCAAACAAATATATACAAACAAGTTAAATAAAGGATACCTAGGAAATATTTAAGAGAGAAAAAGCATTAGAATTAAGAGGTTAGGGAAGGCTTCCTGTAGGAGGAGGGATTTTAGTTGCGACTTAAAGGAAGCTAGGGAGTCAGTGACTGAAGTGAAGGAGGGAGGGCATTCCAGGCCTGGGGACAGCCAGAAAAATGCCTGGAGCCAAGAGATGGAGTGTCTTCTTTGTGAACAGCCAAAAGGCCAGTGTCACTGGATCAAACAGTATGTATTAGGGAAGAAGATGGAAGAAGACTGGAAAGACAGAAGGGGTCTAGGTTATAAAGGACTTTGAATGCTAGAGTATTTTGTATTTGCTCTTGGAAGTCATAAGGAGCCACTGCAGTTTAGTCCACACAGGGGTGACATGATCTGACCTGAACTTTAGTGACTAGGGAATGGACTGGAGTGGGAAGAGACTTGAGGCAGTTAGATGCACTAACAGCTACTGCAGTAATCAAGGTGTGGGGTAATGATAGCCTTTGGTAGAGTGGTGACGATGTCAGAGGAGAGAAGCGGATGTACTTGAGAGATGCTGCAAAGGTGAAATAAATAGACCCTGGCAACAGCTTGGATATGGGGGGGGGGTGAGAGATAGTGAGGAATCCATGATGACTTGTGAGCCCAAAGAACTGGGAAGATGGTACTGCCCTCCACAGTAAAAGGGAAGGTTGGGGGAGAAGGCAGGTTTAGGGAGAAAGATAATGATTTCTGTTTCTAAAAATCTTAAGATGTCTACTGGACATCCAGTTCAAGATGTCTGAAAAGCAGATGGAGATGCAAGATTGGAGGTCAGCAGAAAGACTGAACAGGACAGGTAGATCTGAGAATCACCATCATATAGATAGCAATGAAATCTGTGGTAGCTGATGAGGTCACCAAATGAAGCAGTATAGAGAGAGAAGAGAAGAAGGCCCAGGACACAACCCTGTGGGACATCTACAACGGTTAGGTGGCATGATCGGGATGAAAATCCAGCAAAGGAGACTGAGGAGAAGCCATACAGGTAAGAGTAGAGCCAGGAGAGACTAGTGTCCTGGAAACCTAAACAGAAGAGAGCACAAGAAGGAGGGAATGATCAACAGCACCAAAGGCTGCAGAGAAGCTGAGGAGAAAGAGGATTGAGACAAGGGCACTGAATTTGGTAATTAACAGACCACTGGCAAATTTAGAACAGTTTTTTTTTGTTTGTTTTTTTGGTAAGGCAATTGGGGTTAAGTGACTTGCCCAGAGTCACACAGCTAGTGAATATTATGTGTCTGAGGCCAGAATTGAACTCAGGTCCTCCTGACTCCAGGGCTGGTACTCTATCCACTGTACCACCCAGCTGCCCCATTTTAGAGTAGTTTTAATAGAATGATAAAGAATGAGAAGAGAGAAAGTGGAAGCACCTACTGTAAATGAGGTATTCAAGGAGGTTAGCCACAAAGGGCAGAAGAGATGTTATTGGGGATGGAAAGATCAAGTGAGGATTTTTTTCAGGATGGGAGAGACATGAGTATGTTTGTAGGCAGTAGGAAAGGAGCCAGAAGACAGGGAGAGATTGAAAATAAGTGTCAGAGAGGGGACAGTTTGTTAGAAGAGACAGGAGGAAAGGGATCACTTGAGCTGGTAGAGGGGTTAGTCTTGGGAGTAAAGCCATCTCATCTTGTGATACAAGGGTGAAGGTGATAATGACAGAAGGCACTCGAGTGATATGAGAGAAGGAATTCACTGAGAATGGCTTTAATTTTTCCTGTAAAATATAAGGCGAGGTTTTCCACTGAGAGGGGACCCATGGGAAGTTTGAGGACAGGTGGAATGGTTTGAAAGAGTAACTGTGGAGAGGGGGATAGTAAACTGATAAGGAAAATCTAGTAGGATCGTCTAGCAGCAATGAAGTCCCGGTTGAGGTTTGCGTAACATAAATTTGTAGTGGACCCCAATTAGAATGGCTGCATGATTTCCTCCACCTTCATTCAACAGCACAGGTCTAGGCACAAAGGCAACAAATGGTGAGAGGGATCCAAGGCTGAGGCTTGACTAGGCGTAAATGGTGACATGATAAGGAAACCAGGAATTCAAGAGAGGAGGACGGTACAGAATTTAGCTGGCTCACCAAAGAGTCAAGATGGGGAAAAGAAGAGAACGTGTCTAGCATAGGGGAGAAACTCAAGGAGGAAAATGAGGGGTAGTCAAAGAACTGGAAATCATGGTGAGGATGACAAGCAGGGTTATGTAAGGGAAAGCAGAGAGAGAGGAGACAAGCCAATAGGTTATGGTCAGAAAAAGAGATTTCAGAATTCTTGAACATGAAGGTGGTATATTTGTGGATAATGGCAAGATCAAAGATATGACCATTTCTGCATGTGATTGAAAGGGGTGGGGATGGAGTAGCTGTTCATGGAAGGTAAGTAGGTTGAGAAACCGAGTGGTTAGAGTATTTGAAGGAGAATCAAAATGCATGTAGAAGTCTCGTATGAGGTCAGGCGTTGAGGAGGAGAGAAAAATTATAAGGCAGGTATAGAACTCATTAAGGAAAAAAGGTGAGTGAGCTGGGGGTCTGCAGACAACCACTACCAGGATTTTGATTGGGCGGCAAATTGAATACTACATACCTCAAAGGAAGTG